AAGAAGAAGAAGAAGAAGAAGAAGAAGAAGAAGAAGAAGAAGAAGAAGAAGAAGAAGAAGAAGAAGAAGAAGGAAGAGGAAGGGGAGGAGGAGGAGGAGGAAGCTTTTTCTCCCTGACTTCTAAAAATCCCTCCCCCCTCCTATTTTTCTGAATCGAGAATGATGGAGTTCAAAGCAAAGGCATGTTTCCGGAAATGGAGATATGCCTCTCAAACCCAAAAATGATTTATGTGAAGTTAAATATTCCACATTCGGAAACGTAGCAAAATCCAGAGTTAAGGGCGGCTTTGCTTTCTTCACAAACCACACAAAGGTTAAAAAACCCCGGTTCCGAAGCCTGCCTGGCTGTCCTCTATGCTACAGATGAAAGGCGGGGTGCAAAGCGCTCAGAACCCGAGAAAGTCCGGAGGACTCTAAAGCTAGGGGCCCATTCCCTAGAGGTCAGGGCTCTTCTCTGCTGTCCCTCACCAGCCCTGGCTCTGCAACATGCAGGGATTTAAACATATGTGTGGGAGTGTGCTAGAGAGAACAAGTCAAGAGGACAGAGCGCTCCCCACACGTGTAAGCCTGTATCTCCCAGCTTCGTAGCTCGCGTTCATTCACATGGATGCAGTGGTTAAATATTTGATCAGAGGTAGCAGAGTGACAAGGACCCGTTGTGCTTTAACGAGCACACCTTAGAATAGTGTGCTCGTAAATCCCAAGAGATAAAAGATCCTAAGTGTAGCCCCCATGTCTTACCCTTTCTGCCCTTCCCTACCCCCATTGCCATTCCCCCCCCCCCAAAAAAAAAAAAAAGCCATAAAGGGTTGTGTGTAGCAGATTGAAGAAGGACTGGAGTCGGCGGCTACCAGAAAGGGGGATTAGGGCCAGATCGGTGCAAGTTAAATTGCGCTGCATATAAAAAATGGGCGGATTGGTGTCCAGATCCAGTGGCTGGTACCACCTTCCTTTCTAAAATAAAATCTCTCTGGCATGAAGTCACCGCCTATTTCACATCCGGTTTGCGCTGGGACGTATTACTACTGTCTTGGTACAGAGAAATCTTTTGTTGTATAGCTGCAGATTGGATATTGGGAAGCAAATTTGGGTATGAAATCTCCAGTGCAGGAACACGCAGAGTCCATGATGGCTCAGACCGAGTGAGTGAGCGCGGCGCGAGGACGCCCTCCGCCCGGCGCGCCCGCGCTCGCACACTCGCGCAGCTCCGGCTCACCGCGATCCTCTCTCCCACACTTTTCTCCCGGGTCTGGAGCGATCCGGTGCCCAGAGGGGGCCCCGAGGTAAGTGAGACTTCGGACTGCGAACACCCAAAGCTTGCAACGTGCCTTTGTCCTAGCTGGAGAGGCAAGGATGCTGTAGTGGGGAAAAGAGCAGGAGCCAGCAGGACAGGAGCTGGAGCTGGGAGCAGGTAGAAACAAGGAATGTTTTTCTTTCAGGGTGAAAACTGCAGCGATCTAGGAGCAGAATTTTCTCTCTCTGTCTTCCTTCTCTCCTCTTTGAGGCAGATTTGAATGTACCCTGAGGGGTGGGTGGTGACATGTTGTTTTGATTTTTTTTTCTTTCCTTCTTTTTTTTTTTTTTTTTCCTTTTGGCCAAGGGGGGACGGGGGGTGTTGGGGGGGGGCTCTGGGGGTTGCCATCTGTTAAAGTTAAGAGGCTAGGACAGAAGACCTGACATCCTGTTCCGTTCTAGGGAAGACTTGCTCTTCCCTGTCTGAGCACGTCGCTTCTCCCCTTTCCAGCGGCCAATGCTGAAATGCCCTCTGGTGTGGGGGTCTCTCCCTTTCTGGAAACGAGAAGCTGAACTTACTTGATTTGCGTTGCAGGGGGGGTGGGTCGTGCAGCGTGCATGTGGCTAGCTAGGGGTAGGATGGAGGTGGAAGGGGATAAGGAGGCAGCTTCAGGCTTCCTTTTCAACTGCTATGTTTGTATTCGCAAGAAACTTTCTTCCTCCACAACTGAAGTGCCAGGGCAGGATTGTTTTCCTCCAAATATCAGAGAAGTGCAAAAGCTAGGGTGTCTTTGCTTGGGGAATCTGTGTCTTTCACCCCTTTTCTAGGACTTTCTCCCTTTTCTAGACTCAGGGGGGATTAACAGGGCTAAGAGAAGTTGTTTTCCTCTTCGAAACAAATGTTAAATATATATTTTTTAAAGGATTGATTATCACTGAGCCATTTGGATGCAATATTTTAATGTAATGGTATATATCCAAAATGTCTTGTCATATTCTACTCCGGTGTGTCAAAACAGTCACTAAATTAAGGGAACACTATGATGAAGCTCACAGTTCTTGCCTCTACATCATTTCACTCTAAACAAATTCTGCTTCTTTCCTTACATGACTGTTTGTGATGGATTTTACTGATTGGAATGATCCTGGAGAGTGTGGACAGCATTTTGTTCATGGATTTAAAGGCATACCACATGGAACTCGACGGTGCTTAATGTAAAAAATAGGTTTTATAATGCTTCCATCTATTCACAAGCTACTAAGGAGCTAAGGTTCAGAAAAGTGGCAGAATAAAATACATTTAACAGTTTTGATAGTAGGACTTGAAATAATTTCAGTGTATTTAAGTAACTATATCAGCTTCCTAACCAGGTAGTGGTCAGGATTTCAAAATTTGGCTTAATAAATATGTATACACACACATAATTATATGAATGCAGAGCACACACCCAGATATTTCAATAAACCTTCCTTTCTATGCTTCTTTATTCTTCCATTATCCTCCTACCAAATCCAACTTCAACAATCTAATAATAATGATTGATCGCACTTTACCTAAGTGGGAAGAAATATCCCCTTCTTTTCATGCAAAGCAAACCACTTAAGTTCCCATCTGTCTGAGATGAAGCATTTCTAGCAGCAACCTGGAAGAAATTACAGAATGCTTACAAGATGTGTGTGGGCATGTTTGTGTGTATTGGTGTGTGTGTGTGTGTGTGTGTGTGTGTGTGTGTGTGAGAGAGAGAGAGAGAGAGAGAGAGAGAGACAGTGACAGACACACACACACACACACACACAGAGACAGAGAGAGAACAGCACATGGCCTGACTATGAAGTGTATCTTTTAGCTTCACAGAAACATTAGTGAGCATATTTAACAACCACAGAGGAGAAGCACGACTTTGGCATTCAACAGTGTGTTTCCAATGGTTTTTATAAGAAGGTAAATACAGTTGTTGCTGAAATCAAGGTACATTCAGAATTCAGTGATGCATTAAGTCAACAGAGGTGTTAGCAACCACATCCCACCTACCCACATTCTCTCCTGCTATAGGCACAACCAACGCCTAAACCTTTCGGTACAGATTCTGCCACAGGGACCCAAATCAGAAAGGCCAATCCTTTTCAGGTGATAAACAGCAAAAAAGGAGTAAATCAGCAAGTAATGGAAATGTAAAGGCTATTATAGGAAACAACTCACGACTTTTGGGTTGAGCAGTATTGTCACCTGAAAGCGTTTTGTACAGGGTAAATTAAAATACTGATATATTTCTGAATGAAGAGTGGAAGGTCCAGGGTTGCATTGCTTCCAATGAGGTGTCATATTCTAGTGAGGTCATTTCCTGACTTCAAAGCATTCATCTGAACTGCCTCAGTCAGCCCTAGTGGTTATAACCTGATGTTTCTTGCAAGACACATTGATCTCTACTTATTCCATATTTCAGCTGAACAAGCGCGTGATGAAGAAAAGTCGGGGTCTTTCTGACTGTCTTTGGGCCTGGACCCTCATCCTGAGCACTCTGTCGGGAAGAAGGTGGGGGCATTTTCTTTTAAATTTGCATGACAATTTTGTAATTTTTTATTTATTTCATCAGGAGGAAGAAAATTGTCCAAGGATGAATTCATGACTAAGGGAATTCAGAAAACTTTACTGCAAAAAATTTCAGTTAAGACCACAGAAGAATAGAACATGAACATAACTTTCTTATTTGGATGTTTGCTAGAATACACTTAATGAGTTGTTTTTTTTGTTTTTTTGTTTTGTTTTTTTGTTTTTTTGCTAGAAAATGTATGAATTCAACTTTTAAGCCTGAAATTGCAACTTCTCAGTTTTCATTTGTAACTGAGGAAAAAAAGATGTAGTTTCTAATTTATGGAAAAAGTTAAGTGATTAATCTTCATGTGCCCTATAAGTTGTACGTTAATTTTTAAAAAGGAAATTTTCTAGCCATTTGCAAAACTTGTAGTAATTTGTAAAGGTCATAGGAGTGGAAAAGTTAAAATAATATTGGTAACTTGAATGCCACATATCTATAAAAACCTGCACATTGTGCTTTAAACCATGGTTAATGAAATCAATAGAGAGGAAATATAACAGATGCTTATTTTAAAATACTAGATAAGAATTAAACCAACTGTGCTAATCAAGCATTTGCACTAGGAAGTCGTGTTGTGAATAAATATCGGTAAGTTGAACTAATAAAAGTATTTTCTAATGATCCAGCAAAGAATATGAGAGTTTGTAATAGCAACTATCTAAATAACCAAACAGTTTGTATTGTCCTCTATCTACTGTAACAGGTTTTTTTTGTGTGTGTAGTCAATTCTTGTGTCTCATTGGAAGGCATTCGACACATCATAACACCCTGGACTCCTTGAAATGTAATAGGAAGGGAATCATTGTAAGTCAAAGTCAGAGCTATGGTATCACATAGAAATGCAGACATTTCTGAGGATTGGTTTTAAACAAGATGTTGACTGTCTTATTTCTTAGCATTACCATGTAAACAAAATTCAGGAAAGCAAAAAGCCCATTACTGTCAGATATTGTTATTTTGAGGAGTTAAGTGATCACTGATTTTTGAAAAATTATATGAAGTGTTACTATTATAATGACCTGTAGATGGAGTTAGTGCACAGTGTTTTATTACAGAGTGGTTCATATGGAATCAAAAGCAGGTTCAGTAACTGACATTTCTCTTCAAAATTTATATGCAGTTTAGGTTACTCTACATCGGAGTTAGTATTTATTCCCCACAAAAGTCATCTTATTCTTTCTCCTAGAGTTCTTCTGTGGAAGTTATAATTTTACATTAGAATTTAGTTGTAAGATTGAAAATGAGCCTGATTACAAAATCACAATAAAGGGCTATTTTCATTCCAAAATGGGATATCAGGGCTGGTTTTGTTTGGGAAGGAAGGAGCTAATCTCGTTGGTATTTGCATTCTAAATACAAATGATGTCTGAAAGCAAGATTCATAATAAAGTGAAAAGATTTATTTTTTGATTTTTTTTTTTTTAATTTTTGGCATTTTACGTAAGCTGTGGGAACACTGGGAGCACAGATAAAGATAACATACCAGGGATTCTGAGGATTGTATTTACAGACTAACCACCCTCTGATGTTATTCTAACTCATCTTCTTCCACCTCCTAAATTTATTGCTTTCTCCCTAAGAGTTTTCTCTATGGAAAGTTTCCTGAATCCTAAGGTGTGTTCGCATTTCTTTCTTGTTTTTATCAGGATGACCTTCCAATGTCCTTGAAACATGCATGAATGGTATTTGGTTTTGTGACAATTAATTTTACAAATAATCACTTTGAGAAGACTAATTTTGCTTTTGCCTTAACACTGGTATCTGCCAATACGATGTGAAGGAAGTCACAAGCTCACTGAAAATTTCCTTTAAAAAAGCAAATAAAACAGCAAGTTGTTTAATTTTGCTAAAAGCGAGTAAGCCCTCAATCTGTGTGACATGAATGGATTAATGTTTAATTGAATGGAATGTAAAGTAGTTTCATAGATGTAAATTTCCTATATTTCATAGAAATAAATTCTATATACTATAGAGAAACTTAGAGTTGTTGAATTAAAATGTTATCAAAAAAGTAGTCATTGAAAGTATATACAACTCAGTGAACTTCTAGACAGAATAGGACAGAGCATTGAAAATTTACATTAAAATGTACACTTTCAGTTTGTATCATTATAGAATCAGAATTATAAAAGCAAATTAATTTTGTATTATTAAAGCAGCCATTATCTGTATTCACTCCTTCCTTATTCACTTCTATTTATCCTAGTTAATTTGGTGTGTGATGTTTTTATTTATCTGGAAGTTTTTAATAACATTTTATAAAATTAAGAAAAAGAGAAATGCTCTTTGATTTTTGCTTATACAAAATTAATTACTTGCAAAACAAAATTTGCTTCTGAGGTGATAGTAGATTATATTTGGTGTTCATATCAAATAAGTAAATTTTGGTTCAAAATGCCACTATTTTGCTTATATTTATCAATCTTATAAGTACATGAGTGAGGCAAAATGAATAACAAAATTTAAATATAAAGTATGTAGATCTGTTACTCTGTCTTACGTTCATACCCTATATCCATTTAATCTTTGCACTCAAGGGCAGAGCTATCACTGAAATTTGTCAGTGAGTGTAATTTTTTTTCTAAGATACAAACTGCTTCTCTCCAAAGATTTTGAAGGTGTCATGCTAATTCTTACGTAAAAGAGCACTAAATCTGCATAGATAACAAAGCGTTTGGTGTAAGAAAACACATGGCATGAGAAATGCAGCCCTGTAGGGTGGAAACCCAGAGTAAGTAATAAGACTGAGAGACAGAAGCCATAACCTCAAACAGAAAGAACAGGAACAGTCTTTCCTCTGCAGAAGGGTGGAAATAAAGTATTATTCCAAAAGGTGATGAAAACGCGTTTCTGGCCTGTGCTTTGCTCTTAGGTAGTCGTGTCTTAAAACACAACGGCAAGGTTTAGTGTGGTTTCTATCAAGAGTTTTGCTACTATGTCTAAACCCAGAAACAACCAAAGTTCAAGCAAATTAAACTTTGAATAATTTTTCAAAATAATTTTTATATATCTTAAGGGGAATCAAAGTTTTCACATTCATGAAAATACAAGTAATGCAATATATGATTTGTGTATCTTCTTTTCCTAAATATCTTTTTAAAAATTCCAAAAATCAAAAGCTCAAGTGTATGGAAAGCTAATGGAAGAAGGAGTTTTGGTATATGAAAAGTTACACACTGAATTTTAAAAAGAATCTTTGAGTTAGCTTTGCAGTCCACATATAGACGCCCATATGTAGATAAATATAAATAATTTGGAGAGAAGCCTCCAAGATGTTTCGTACAGCATAAGTGAACAGTCCTGCTTGCTCAGAGGAGGCAATTCTTTTCTAAGACTCTCTGTGTACTGAGAACTGAAAACCCAGGGTTTGAACTAACATTCTGTATTAAAATTAAGAGCCTGCCACCAAGGAGGCACAAATGAGAAAATGAAAAATTATAATTACTTCCAAACTCCCAACAGCAAGGAAAGTAAGAAAACCTGAGGAAGGTTTTGAATCGTAAGACGTTAAAGTGGAAACTTATAAATTGGTGTTATTGTTTTATTTATTCTTTTCTCAGCTATGGACAACCCTCCCAAGATGAACTTAAAGATAACACCACTGTTTTTACGAGGATTTTGGACCGACTCCTGGATGGTTATGACAATCGTCTGAGACCAGGACTGGGAGGTGAGTTACACTCTCACATTTTCCTTTGAGAAAATTTAGTATTATTAAATATTCACTAGTACATCTCTAATTTCTCTTCAAGCATTAAATAAAAATATTAACATGCTGATTGATAATTAATTATATTTTAATAGACCACTCAGTGCTAATTCAATTTACTAAGATAGTTTTGTGCACATAGATCTATATAGTGGCAGACAGACAGAAAATTCTCACAATGACACAAAGAGAAACATATTCTACATATTCATGGCTATTCTGTCTAATAAAAATGATTAAATAAAAATTAAGATGTTATACCTTACCTTTCAGTCTAATATTTATCAACTTTACCTGCTTTATCTGCACTGAATTCAAATAAGGTATCTTAATTTCATGTTAGAAATGCTTACTTTAGAAATTGTGTATCTAAACATATCTTTGTGTTATATTATTCCATCTCTATGATCAAAGAGAAATAAAATAGATGGTAATATTTTATTTTCAGACCATGAATTTGTATGTAATTCTCTAATTTTCTTTAGTAAATTTTAATGCTTTTTTAAAAATTAATTAATTGATTAATGAATTTTTGCTTAGGGAGAAAATCATGTTCAATCACACACACACTCCTTGATAAAATAACACATAATTTCATGTGACTGAGTAAAGACTAATAAAGTCACATCAAAATATTGACCTTAAAGGGCAGCAAATAAAGCAAGGAAAGAAATTGCCATCACAAGTCTCAAAGAAAACCAACATATGACGTTGGTGTCTCCAAGTTACAGTCAATATGTCACCTTTTCCAAAGCAACAAAAACGAACAGTAATATTTAACTAGCATTATGAAAAGCCACCTCTTATTAAATTAGTCAAAACAAATAAAGAAAGCTAAGAATAAGAACTCAAACACTGGTTCTCAAACAAAATGGTATCATGGATTTAGAATCCTTCCTTCCTTCCTTCCTTCCTTCCTTCCTTCCTTCCTTCCTTCCTTCCTTCCTTCCTTCCTCCATTCATTCATTTATTGTTCAGATGTGGGACTGGAAGGAAAGGCTTTGCACATGCTAGACATATTCTACTCCTGAGCTACATTCCCAGAGCCAGAGTCATTAAAAATACATAGCTTGTATATTATAATCACATGGATGGAAATCATGGGCCTATTTTGAAGCTGCCAAGTATCATTAACATCTAAGAGGTTAGGAGGAAAATGCCTAGCCAAAGTCACATCTGGGGATATATATATATATATATATATATATGTCTTATATGTAGTCTTATTGTGTATATTTTCTTATCAAGTTCAAGCATTAATTTTTAGACATAGTGTTTTTTTTTTCCGATTTGGCATCCCTATTGTGTTCTTTTAACTGTTGGAAGGGAAAATATTATTCTAAAGTTGCTGAATATAATATTATTTATTCCTAGACTCAGATATTAAGAATGCTGAGGAAAGAGGGCAGACACATTAAGTCCAATGTTTCAAAAGCCACCTAGGCATCATAGAAGACTGTCAAGAAAAAAAATAACCTTGACTTTGGGATGGAATAATCATAAAATGGACAGCACGGCTCTGTTCATAATGCAGCAACATAATGTCACTGTAGGTCTAAGCGTCTAGATTGACACTAAGAAATTTGCTCTCTTTGCATACAATTTGAATAAATTACAAAGACTAGTAATAAGGCACAAATGTGAATAAGAATTCAACTACGGAGTTGTAGATACAAATTATGAAATTGAAGGCTTATGAAAATGTTGATAAATTATATATATATATATATACATAATCGTATATGTTAAAATAAATAATATTTATACACAATAAATTATATGTATGTTTCCATTACTGAATGTTCATTCTGTCTCAGGCAAACCCTGGGACAGTAGAATGCACCTCACATGAAAAACCTTCATTCGTTATAGTTTACAAAACCATATTTAATACTATATTGTGTGTATATAAATATTCTCTGAAAGGTATGCAAGTGACTTTCAATCCATTTGATAATTTTACATAAACACACACATTCACACATTCGCTTTAATCATCAATTGTGATTGTATGCTATTACAGTCTAAGTAACAAGGCTTTACTGGTAATTTTGATTTAATGATATATGCTGAATCTTTAATGAGTATGTTTCTACATATACTTAAACCACAGAGAGCTATACATGATAAATGAATGAATAGCCTAAAATATACATTTAAAGATAATTTTGAGATCTACAACACTGGGTGATATTCTTAAAAATTCACTAAAATAGTTTATAAAATATTAGTATTTTTAATATATGTAATCACTTAATCTCTGGAAATAGCAAAAATAGACTTGTAGATTAGGGAACAGAAAGAAAGGTTCATCTCATAAAGAGCAGGTATACCTTTGTAAGATAGAAATTCAGTATTTAGAGAAATATATTTTTAAAAAAATAAAAAAAATTAATCACTAGGAAAGAGTTTATTTTATTTCTTTTCTTATAGGTACACTTTTTATTCAATGTTAATGTTACAGAGTTCTTACACTGTTCGAACTATGCCTGCGAACCCAAAGAATGAAATGGGTGAATGGACAGCCTCATTCACCCAGACAGTGTACTAAAACTTGATTCATGTGCAATTTGATAATTTCACAATCTTAAAAATTTATAAAAAGGCTTAATTAACATTTACATCTCCTGCAGGTCTTCAGAATTCCAATACAGTATGCCATTAAACAAACCTCTTCACATGTCTCAGTTCACTTCTTAAATCATAACCCCAAACAGCATTTCTGTGTGTGTGCAGGTGTGTGGGTGGGGTTAAACATACTTTAAGGGAAGTGCATGGCATGACGTGATTACTTGTTAAGGTTTCTGGTGCCCAGGTAAGTTTTCAGTTTAACGAAGAATTCCAAACTTCTGGTCACCCAACCTCCTTCCTGCTGGCACAGATCATGCCAACACTTCTCCCTAGAAGTGGCATGCAGTCTGGTCAGGGGATTCTAGCCCACACCTCCTCCTTCCCACACTGCTGCACTCATCCCCTAAGCTGCGAGATGTCCTCAGGGTGGGAGAGCTTCCACCCATTACCTGTTTCATGCCTGTCAGTAGTGAGCAATCTGAACTGTACTTAGCATTTACAGAGAGAAACCCAGGCACTGCCCTCATTTCTTATTCTTGAAAAGGCTGATTTAAGAAATAAGATGGTCACTAAAACAAACGAAAACAGGTGAAATCTTTGTTCAGTTTCTATTATAAATGTTTGCCTGAAACATAGTAAAATCAGATGCGCAAGATTTAAGATATTTTCTTATTTTAGACTTTCATATTGACTAACCTCATTTTGCACATTTTGAAGGCATTCTTAATTTTAAGACACAAACAGACATGTGACTGTTATAGGATAAAGACAGTTTATAAACATTTTGATAACAAAAAACTAGACAATTATATTTAGAATATGAAATATATTCCCAAGACATTGATCTTACAATATAATCAGCTGTGAATTTACAGAAAATAGTTAACTCTAATACTGACTGGCTATATTGAAATTATCTTATTTTCTTTGGGAATGAAGTACTTAATATCATTTTGCTCTTAATTTCAGAAAATCCGAGCATGGCATGGTTAATCATAAATTCCTGTAACAGAATGGACTCTCCATCTTTATTGTTATTACTTTTTTGACATAACTAATTTACTTTTAGAAAAAAGGACTATAGAAACGAAGAACAGAATCTCTATTTTATAGAAAGTGAGGTAAAAGTTTCCCAGTAGTTTGTGCATGGTTATATCTGAGATGACTTTCTCCTAGAAAGGGTCCCTGTTGTCTTCTATATCATGATTAAACACTGTGAAAAAGACAAGGATTTTTTTTCTGTGTATCCTTAAAATTAGATGTATGATAATGAAACTTAATGTTATATAAACAATTCTCCCATATGCAGATCAGTCATGGCATCTTCAGCTTTATTATTTGGGAGTGTACACCTGGATTTATGTAGGGAAGAAATTAATTACTTGCCTGATTTGGGTACTAGAAATTAGCTTGAAGATATTATAACACTATTTTAAAAGACTAGGCTCCACCCCTCTTAGAACCAAGAGCCAACCAGAGCAGGAGTAAATAGAACTGTAACAAAGGAAGAAATATTCTGACAGGGATTGTGACTTTTGTTTAAACCAGGTGAAATAAAATGAAATAGAAAAAGTGCAACACTAAGGCTTCAACATAAAAAGAACAAAAAGAAAACGAGTCAGTAAAATTCATACATCAAACACAAAGTAACTGCAGAAAATTTGAATTAAAATTGTGAATAGCTAGAAAATGTACAACATCATCAATAATTACTGAATTCTTTCTCATTTACAATGTCTTGCTTTTGTGGCAAGAAAACGAGAGAATTTTCTTCTTCAACCAGGAAATTTAAAGTGTGTTTTACTAAACCAAGTTCAAGTCAAAAAGAGTGACATTGTTGCGGAAATAAAGATTGAAAATCAAAAAGAGTGGGAAGATAAGAAAAGTTCAAGCAGAAAGGAAGCAAACAGAGGCAAGAAGATAAGACGTGAGACTAAGGGGGCCAGTGTGACAGAGAGAACCAGAAACAATTCTGAAGCAGAGGAGGGGACAGGAAGAAGCAGAAACATGGAGCACCTTATGTTTGTCTGTAAACGGAACAAACTGAAAGTTCTCAATAAATTTATTTCTAATTTTTTTCCCATATTTTAAAATAAATAAAGGATGGTTGGATGGTCTCAGATGTCCTCAAAGTAAGCAACCATGTAAACTTGGTTGAAATTTGATTTACCTTTATATAGGCTCCATTTCAACTCCTAGAATTGTAAAAAATAATAATAATAATAATAATCAACAGAGACCTAATGCTTAATGCTGAAGGAATATGTCAAAGGTTCTAAGAACATGCAACACCCTTCTGGCTATATCCTTGCTTTCTGGCCTTTCTGCAGAGACCACTTCCATTTTATGATATGCTTCAGTCTCACTGTGAATAAGGCTAACACACAGGT